TTCCATTTGTTTATACTGGCAAACTTTAAAAATTTATAACTTAACAACAAATGACTCAATTTGAATGATTTTTTTTTATTTAAAAGATTGTGGCTTAAGAGTTTTTTATTCCCATTTTTGCTTTTATTAAAGAAAAGATCTCCAAGTTACATGTATTTTCTCAACTTTTTGTATTTTCTCAAACTTTTTTCTCAAAACTTTTTGTACAACCCACGTATAGCAGTATAGTATATAGTAGATAAAAATTTTGTTTTCAAATAAAAAAAAATCAAATGGTTTTATTCGAAATACCAAGTAAATATGGGTATGTAAGTAAAATCCAAAGAATTTAGTATCCAATAATAGCAACAACAATATAATAGATAATAATAATCTCATCAATGACACTAAATCAGATTTGCAAAATCTATATCTATATCTAAATAACTATGTCAATAATGATAATCCTAATAATTATAACTGTATTAATTACAACAACTCTCAAACGAACATTGACAATGGTTCAGAATTCACATTAGAATCATTGATAGATAATAATCCAGATTTTTATAATAAGCAAAGTGATGGATTCACTATTAATCATCAATATCAATATCAAATTAACAATGGAAATAATAACGATGATGCTTCAGTAATGTTTTCACCAACAAGTATAATAAAATTTTTTGATGATAATGCATATTTAAATTTTTATTTTAATCAGCAGGATTTTGGTGTCTTCAATGACCAGTCTACAATATTCAACAATAATAATACTATTGATGGTAATGATAGCAATGCTAATGTTAGTGTTAATAATAATACTGATAATAATAATAATTATAGAGTATTAAGTAATGGACAAAGTCCAGTTATTATCAATAATAAAGATTTCAACGAAGAAAATTATTAATATAGTTAAGCTAGAATGGAGTTAGAATTCCTTTATTATAATTACTATTAATTATATCAAATAGCTGTTAATATTTTTGTAATATTCGTTATCACCATTATCATCATTATTATGATTTATTTGCTATTTATGCTTTTTAATAATAAGTTAATAAAGAGTATGCACTAGAAATGGTTGTTCCAACTAAAGCGAGTGAACCAAAATAGCCAAATCCTCCTCTGTGTCTTTTATCAGGTTCTCCAGTGGAATATCCGACAGCATAAGCAATACGGCCTTTTAATTTTTTTGAAAAAAAAAAAATAATTAAAATAATAGATAATATTATAATATATATATTATTATCATTCATACCAATTATCCAAACACCTCCTGCAACAGCAGATATAATTGGATGTTTTAATCCACCAATAGTAAGCCTAAATAACAATAATATATATATAAATAATAATAAATCGTTTTTTAAACAATATATATTAACATATATTTACGTAAAAAGGAATTGAGGATATTGTTCCAAAGTATTCTGAACAACAAAAAAAATTTCTATTATTAACAAAGAATTTGATTTATTATTATTGATTGATTAATTAAAATTTTTTTTTTATTTACTTGATGTGCTCGTTGAATACAATTGAAAATAAATTTTTTTTTATCCTTCTCAACTTCTTCTTTTGAAGCATACACTAAAAAAAAATCACAATTAGTTGATTGTTAAATTGGATTTTTATCAAAACATTATTTATTATATACACGTACTATATGGATATTCTACACCATATACTTTACGAGCTTTTGTTGTTTTCATTCCAAGATATACAGTAAGAACTATAGACGATAATCCAGTTAAAATGACCTAATTTACATATATAGTTTATCATTATCATTATCATTATCATTATTATTGTTGTTGCTATTATTGGATACTAAATTCTTTTATATAAGTAACATTCTTCTCATCTTTCAAAT